CACCAATCCTGATTGCTACAGATGTTGCATCCAGAGGTCTAGGTTAGTACAACTCGTAATGCCAGTTGCCCAAAGTTATTTTAAAGAAAGTCTATTGCTTTCTTTAACCTCTGCATTTTTCTAAGTTTTCTTCACATAAAGGTGCAGTCTTTGTGGCAAGGCCTAGGCATGACAATCGGAGGACTCGAGGGGGATGGAGGACTAGTGGAAGTGATCGGCTGGCTGCTTCCAGTCAAATAGAGAGGTGAAAACTGAGAGCATTGTGTGCCAGTAATCTTCAAAAGGCAAAGATCATCCTTTAAACTACTCCCCCATAAACTGTTCTCTCATGAAATAAGCAGCCTCATTCACAGTTCACTTTGCCCTGGTATTTCTCTTCTCTCCATGCTTTGCATGATTTGCCATGGTGCAGTACTGTTAGTTTTGTGCATACTGTCTGCTGTGATCTGTGGGTCTTTGAATTTCGGTGAGTTTGAAATGTTGAGGAAAATAATTACAAACTTCAATGTTCAATGAAATTTTTTTTCCAACCATGAAATGGAGAGAGCAGCTTTAAAATGTACTAAGCCTTGTACAAATTGGTGAGTACTGGCACATGAAATCTGAGAAAAAGTCCACCTCTCACTTTAGCAAGTGGGGCAGGAAAGCATTGGCTTTTCTAAATGCCTTTGAAAGTCGAAGTTCCTCCACCTATATGTAGTCGTCATGTCGAGACCTGCCAGAGAGAGACACATTCTCAAGTGAACGCTGGCTTCTTGGAAGTGCTTGCCTAGACGAGACAGTGCATAAAAACAACTTGGTGACTTTTGGGGGACAGGTATGTTTTTCTTGCAGCTGCAGTTCAAAGGTCTTGGCAAGACGAGCAGTGTGGCCCTTTTTTTTTGAGCTTCTAATGAGTGTGTATGTGAAGGACCTTGTATGTTTTTACTCTAAGGTCCTCAAATGAGCACATGAAGAGGCTGCTGTGAGCTTTAGTGGCCCTACTGCAAGAAGCATTCAGATGTCACTTGATGATTTGTAAAGGGGACTCTTGAGTTGTGATTGACAAGCAAATGCATACTCCTTTATGGTAAGGTTTTGGATCACAGGGTGGGTGATAAGATGGGAACAGATGGAGTGTGCATATCTTCCTCTTCCACAATATTCGTGCAGAAATGGATAATTCTAACACTGTTCTTTGCAGCCATTATTTCATTGAAAGTACTATTGTCTAACGTTTATCTTCGATTTGGCTGTTGTGGTGTGCAAAACTTTGTACCTCGCTTTTTGCCACACTGCAACACTTTACAGATGTGGAAGATGTGAAATTTGTCATCAATTATGACTACCCTAACTCCTCAGAGGACTATATCCACCGAATTGGACGAACTGCCCGCAGTACCAAAACAGGCACAGCATATACATTCTTTACTCCTAACAATATTAAGCAAGTAAATGACCTCATCTCTGTGCTTCGGGAGGCTAATCAAGCCATCAACCCTAAATTGCTTCAGTTGATTGAAGACAGAGGTTCAGGTGAGTGCTACTGTTAACAGTGCATAGCTCTGCTCTCAGAACAAACTGGGAATCTCTAGCCTCTCAAAAATGGATATGAATGGTAGCTTATTTGCTGGTTATGCTGACCTCAAAAGGTGTTAAGAGTAGTAATGTGAGCAAAACCTGCCCCCGCACTGTTGTGCTGTAGAGCATCTTGTGAGCTGTAGCTGCTGATTGAAAACGGGCTTCAGGCTCATTTTTTCTGTATTAAAAGACTTCACAGGGCTCAGCTGTTTGGCTTCCTCTTACAGTTAAGAGATATTGGATGTAACTGTCCTATTGGTGAGACTAAAGCAACTTTCCTTCATCTTTCCTTCATGCTACTGTTCATGTTATAGGGTTGAGCGTATGACCCTGCATTAGTTAAAGAAAGGAGTCCAGCCTGTCTTGATGTAATTCTGCATGCCCATTGAGTCCAGTTAGAAACTGGAAAGCCCTTCAGTAGATTTGACTTGCTGGGGCACAAAGGAAAAGAATGTTCACCAGGTGGTATATAAAATGCACTTTACCACTCTTATATCTAACTGTCTTGTCTCTTTAATAGGTCGTTCCCGAGGTGACCGACGTGACAGATACTCTGCGGGCAAAAGGGGTGGATTTAGTAGCTTTAGAGAGAGGGAGAACTTTGAGAGAACTTATGGTGCACTAGGAAAGAGAGACTTTGGAGCCAAAGCTCAAAATGGGGCCTACAGTACCCAGAGTTTCAGTAATGGAACTCCTTTTGGAAATGGCTTTGCAGCTGCAGGCATGCAAGCTGGCTTCAGGGCTGGTAACCCTGCAGGAGCTTACCAGAATGGCTATGATCAGCAGTATGGAAGTAACATTGCAAATATGCACAATGGCATGAACCAACAGCAGTATGCGTATCCTGCCACTGGTGCTGCTCCTATGATAGGTTACCCAATGCCAGCGAGTTATTCTCAATAACTTAGTGTATTTAAATGTCTCAGTTTTTCATAATTGCTCTTTATATTGTGTGTTATCTCAGAACAGGATAGTAATTTAAGAAATGGGAAACGCAGAAATGACTGCAGTGCAGCAGTAATTATGGTGCACTTTTTCGCTATTTAAGTTGAATATTTCTCTACATTCCTGAAACAATTTTTAGTTTTTTGTACTAGAAAATGCAGACAGTGTTTTCAAAGTAAATGTACAGTGATTTGAAATACAGTAAACAGAAGGCAGTGCATGGCCTTCCAATAAAGATATTTGAAGACCGAATTTTCTTTCAGATGGCAATTTTCTCAACATGTGCACAACTTTACACTAATGGAATGTCAAATGTTTTTATATTCTAGAAAGATTTCTCAACTGTGTCTGATTAAACATTTAAGCTTATATAAAAAAAAAAACAACAACAGGCTTGCCTTGATTGGGCTAGATTGCTTAGCATGGCAGGCTCTATTTGGTGGGGAAGAAAACAAAAGCTGGCTTCTAAGTAGCAGTTGGAAATGGTCTTCTTCCTTGTCTGGTTAGCATAGGGCCAGTTTGTTTTTTTTATTTTGGAAAAGATTCATTGGAGTAATGGTATAGCTGAAAATCTTGCTAACCAAAGCTCTGCTGAAGTGGTGTTGTTAATGAGCTTCTGCTACAAGTGTAGGAAGCTTTTTTGCAGCACCATAACTGTTGCATATGTGCAGACTAGGCTTGAGTGTAATGTGTCTACAGCTGTCAGGCCTTGTGAGTTAGCATGCAGGCTTACTATGAGCTTCAGAGAAATGGGAAGATCTTTAGTATTAAAACTTCAAATTATACTTAAACTGGTATTGAGCAGTGATTTCTTTGTGGAAGTGGGAGGAGGGAAGTGGGCTGTTCAATGACTGCATGTATGGATTTTTGTCAGTGTTTGTACATTCACTACACGCAGCCAACACCTCTGCTCAGCAAAGGAATGTTCTGAAGCACTTCCTTCAGTGGGAGCATAGCTGGTGTCAAGCAAAGACACAATTCTGGGGTTGTTACTAAATGCTGTCGAGAACAGTAGCTTAAAATTCAACTGAACGCTAATCTTCAGTTCCCACTCTTAACAAGAATCATTTTTTAAATGCAAAAATGCTTAACTATACTGATTTAAGGATCTGGGTAAGATTTTGTCCAGGTTATTTTGAATCTGAGTCACTGATTTCAAGCCCCTTGGACTTCAGTTCCATTTTCCTCAGCTTGCTTTGCTGTTGTAATTTGTTCCCTCTGAGCCTCAGCTTTTACTATTACAAGTGTAATCCATTATTTTCTTAACATTTATATATTTTTTTCTGTGAAATTCTCTCGCTTTGTAGTACTCTGAACTGTGCTGTCAATTTTCTTGCCCCCTGCCCTTTTGAGAGGGAGTAGCACCAAACCTTTGTTAAAATGGAGTCTTGTAGTAGGTGTGTTGAGTACAGATTTTTAAGGATAGAGATTCCTGGTGCATCTCTTTGTACTCTGACAGAAGTGAAGTAATGCTTCCTAACTTCTATTTCGCTTCTGGCTGTGAGTTACTAAGCCTGCATTTCTGAGGGGGTTTATTTTTCCTGTTAAAGGCGCAGTGCCCTCAGTGTTCGCACTTAAAGCTTTCGTAGTTCTCACTAATAGAAACGGACTTGGGGCTTTGCAATGAGCGAAAGCAGCCCTGGCTCAGGCTAGCAGGCTCTAAATGGCGTTTTCCTCCTCTGCCCCACTGCCCCACAAACGCCCGTCTCCGCTCAGCCCCGCGGGCCCGGCTGCGCTTCCAGTCGCGCTGCTGCCGCCCCGCCCCGCCGAGCGGAACATCCGCGCGCCCTTCGCTGCCGCCGCCTCGCAGCGGCATCTCCTCGTTCGGCTCCGCCCTCTGGCAGCGGTACAAAGCCGTGATTAAGGGCGTGTGGAATTTTCCACTGCTGCAGCGCGGCCAGGCTGCCGGCTGCTCCCGGGGAGCTGCTGCCCTGCGGAACGCCGCGTTTACGGCGGGCAGGGCCAACCCTGTTCACCCTCGGCGGGAAGCCGCGCGTCGCTGCGCAGCGCGGTACAGCCGCTCTGAGGAGACCTGCGTTAAGCGCTGGGCTTTTTGCCTCGACAAAGCCTTTGCTCTGGGGAGTTCTGTGGACACGACTGCCGAGCGCACGGCTCCCCGCCTCACCGTGAGGTGAGGGGCAGCAGGGAGTTCTTCGCTATGGGAGCGGTGAGGCGCTGAGCAGCTGCGCAGAGCTGGGGGCGCCCCGTCCAACTGGCGGTGTTCGAGGCCGTGTTGGATGCGGCCCGGCCTGGTGTTAAATGTGGAGGTTGGTGGCCCTGTGTGTGGCAGGGGGTTGGAGATTCGTGATCCTTGAGGTCCCTCCCAACCCGGGCCGTTCCGTACTGTGACTTGTATCCGTAATTCTGTGAAGGCGGAGCGCAGCCGCAGGGCGCGGCCCGACACAGTCGGAGCGGGCGAAGGCCGCGAGGCAGCGCGCATGCGCGCCCGCCATGTTCCCTCGGCCTCGTGCAGGGCCGCGCGCCGGCCCCGCTTCCTGCGCGCGCGGCAGGTGGCGCGTGCGCGGTGCTCGCGGCGCCCCCCTCCTCAGCCGTGAGGGCGGTGGGAAGATGGCGCTGGGCTGCCGCCAAGGGCGCCGTCTGTGCAGCCCGGCTCGCCTTAGGCGGCGGCCGCTCGCCGCCTGGGAGCCGAAGGCTGGGTCTCCGGCACGGTATTACGCGGCGGCCGGCGGCGAGGCGGCGAGCGGGCAGGAGGAGCTGCTGCTGGAGGTGTGCCGGAGGCGGCACTTCTTGCGGGGCGGCCCGGAGCTTTGGGCCCGGAGCGCGCAGCTCCGCTTCGGGCCGCTGGGCGTGGCGCTGCGGGGCAACCTGGCGGCGCAGTGGTGGGACGCGGTGCTGGCCCGCCGGGAGCAGGTGTTGGCGGTGGATTCCCCGCTGTACGGCCGCCCCTCCGCCGGCTCCCCGCTGGCTCAGGGCGCTCCGCGGCTGCTGCACTCGGAAACCCTGCGCGAAGTTCTCCAGAGCGGGGGCTGCGGCCGGCAGCCCGGCGGTGCGGCTCTGCAAGAAGCGCTGGGCAGCGCGGGAGCGCTTCGTGAGAGCCTCCTGCCCGGTACGAACGGCGGCGCGGCGGCGCTCCGCTGAGCTCGGGCAGCCCGGGCCGTTCGCAGCTGCCTTCAGGGGAACTTCGTTCTCCGGTTGTGGCGGCGCGCTGGGAGGGTCTCATTGCTGCCATCTGTACTCGGGAAGCTGAGCAGCAGAGTGTCGGTTTGCACTTTACATTTTGCCCTGGGTGCGCTGCTGAAATCACAGTGCCCACAGGTACAGGCTGTGAGCTGCTGAGCTCGTGTCCACAGAACACAAAATGATGCTATAAGTATAAGCAGTATGTAGCAGTGGGGTCTTACATCATCGTTACTGCCTTCATTTCCTCTTGTGGATAAACTAATGCACTGTATTTGTTTCTACTATGGTTAAAATAGCTTGTGGCTGCTGCAATTCCTTGTCTGTCTTTCGGCAGGTGCTTTGGCACAGTATGTTAGCTGCTTAGAATTTGTGAACAAGAGACTGCCCTGTGGCCTTGCTGAAGTTGGAGTATGTTTTCACTCCATTCCAGGAAGTGAACAACACAATGAAAAGCTTAGAAGGTACGCTAATAAAGAGTGATAAATCCCCTTTCGTACCAACAAGTATGCATAGTTGTTTCAACTTGGATTACTCTTGAAAACCATTTCTTGCTTCTTTCCTGTTGTCTTTGAAGGAGTTAACTTGCTGACCTTGCTATTGTTTAAAGAATAGGCGAAAGGACTACATCGTTACTTACATGGTTTAGCTCTCCCAGAACTGCAGGACAGTGGCTCGATTATTGGTTACGTCAGAGACTGCAATGGTGGAGAAAGGTAACAGTGGTGTAATATGGGCAATCTTGACCTGTTCCTTTGTTTTTTCATGGAGAGGGAAAATAGGCAACCTGATAGATTTTTTGATACGTTGCCAATTCTTGTAACTGAAATACATACATTTCTTGCAAGAAACTGAAAAACTACTTACGATCATGACGAAGCCATGAAGTGGTTTGTGATACACTTGCAGAAAGGCAAAGGTTTAGAGATCAAAGTATTGTGAAACAATTGAAGTGAATTGGGTTTAAATTTATGAAGAAAAAAAAAAGATGATAAAATTGCTATAAGCTTCTTTTGACATCAAGGATGTGTTTTTTGTAGTTAATATAGCATTCACAACAGTAGAACACTTCTTATATCTTTGATTTTCAGTTTGCAGTGGGCCCATCCAACTTCGGCAGCAGTGACTTTCAGGATGAAGAAGGAAGACGGGGATTTAATTTGCATTATGACTTTCCTTGGGGGAGGGAAACAATAGAAACATTGAAAAACCTTGGTGACACTGAACTGTTACAGATGCATCCAGGGGATAAATCAAAATTACTGGTAAGCATTACTTTACTGTATGGAGAATCTTTTATGGTAAAGATGCGAGGAATGTTTTATTTGCTGGTGCAATTGTTTATTGCGTGACTATTTCTTTTTCTTTTCTGGTAAAATCAGTATAATTGATACGCTGTTATCAGACCTTCATTGGCATTTGTTATTTTCAAAAGGAGATAAAATAGTGATGCTATGTTGTTTGTGCATGGAGTTAATTCTTTGAAGGTAGCAGTGAGCTATATTGTTCTTCTCTTTGTTACAAACTAATTGAGTTACTGTTACATGTTAAGGATGCTAGTAACTAAAATGCAGCTCATTGTAAGATACCTCTGAATATAAGAAGGGTGCTTGAGCTCAGTGCCTCCTTATACATTTAAAGTAAATAGAAGGCCTTCTGAGGCAGTCCTTCAGGTATCCACCCCATCATGGTTGATTGGTTGGTGGCTTTTATAGTTTGTTTAATTTTTTTCCTCATCAGGGCCGGGATGGAAGGAAGAATGTTCTTCCTCATGTTCTGTCTGTGAGTGGAAATCTGGACCAAGGAGCATTAGCTTACCTCTTTGATTCTCTCCAGCTGGCTGAGAATCCACTGACAACAAAGAAAAATTCGCAGAGAAAGGTAACTAGTAAAAGGGAGAATGGATGATGGAGGGAAGGGATGTGCTTAAGTGCTGGGCCTGAATGCCAAAAATCACATCTTAGGTCAGCAGAGGTCAGCCTGTGAAAGCAAGCAGCAAAGAGCTTTTGTTGTTGTCTGAGAGCATTGTGTTGAGTGCAAACCTAATAATCTGTAGAGAAGGTGATAAATTCAATCATTTCTTTCTTCTGTGTCTCTGTCCCCTGTTCCCTTTCCCGAGGGGTGTAGGCAGAACAGTTTTCAGTACTAGCAATAGACTTGGCCCATGGGACTACTTCTATAGTCCTTTTTACCCACATAAACAATTTTTCTCTCGTTCAGAGATCACTTTTCCTTTCATAGCTTCTCTCCAATGATTAGTAAGCTTTTGCTGTGTAAGTGGTGTTGTTGGGAGGAATTGGAACATAGTTGCTTTGAGAGGGAGAGAAAATGCTGGGGGAAATTGTCTCTTCAAACAGAGTTTGGGGGTTTCCAAGAGCAGAAAAGCTGGGTTACAGGTAGCAGTGAGGCATTTTCCCTCAATGACCATCATTAATCCTACTTTCACTGAGGTTTTCCGGAGTTACTGTGCTAGCATTCGCACAATGCTTGCCAATCAAACAGGTGTTTGTCTTTAAGAATAAGCAGTAGGCTGGATAGTAACTGTCTAGTGGGCTGTCTCTTTGATCTCCTCAGTCCAACTAAAGCTCTGCTAACAAATCTTCATCTCTCCTCTTCTGGGACTCAGACAGAAAAGTAACTTACATTGTGTTTCCCTAGCTGGCATATGTATTGAGTATCTACAGTATGGCTTGCTTTTTTCTAGTTCAGGATTTTGAGCTGTAAGAAAAATTCAGTGTGTTTAGAACGTTTAGTAGCAAAGCTGCTTCATTTCAGTGAAAAATTTTCAAATGACTGTATAATATTCTGTAGTTCTGTTTCAGTGTTCATACTAACCATATTCAGTAATCTCTTGCTTTTTGTGAAATCATTAGGTACTTAAACTTCATCCTTGTTTAACACCTATCAAAGTGGCTTTGGATGTAGGGAAGGGTCCGACAGCAGAGCTGCGACAGGTATGTTGTGAGAACACATGTTAATGTATAGTGTTAACTTCCCATGTGACTTTCAACTGAAAGTCAGGCACTGTTTATGTTGGTGAAAGTCATGCTGCTATTTCAATTCTGAGATTCATGTTTGCACATATTTCATAATGCTTCCTCCACAGTGAGCTTGTGAGTCATGGCTGAAGGAGTACAGTGAGGAAGCAGATGCTGTCTTTGCTTTAGCACACTACTTAGTACTGTTAGTAAGTTTTGAATTTGTTTCATGAAAAAAATAAGTAAAATAAATAACAAAATCCTTCTCAGGTTCTTAACCTTTTATGGTTATCTTAACTCATGGATTTCACCTTCAGATTTTAAGGTGGTTTTTTTTTTTTTTAACTTAAGTCAGCCATTAAGCCAATCACCACGGAAGGGAAGAAACTTAAGCCAATGTGTTTTTTAAATAAAAGTTGAGATTTAATTGCTAAACAGCTTTCCACTATGAGATCATTTCAGCCAGTAAATTAACACCAACTAGGAATGCTAATATTGCAAGTAATAGAGTTCAATTTGTTTCTAGATTCTCAAAATCGTTCTTTTTACTTTTTTTCTTAAACACAGGTTTGTCAAGGATTGTTCAATGAACTGTCAGAAAATAGAATTGCTGTGTGGCCGGGTTATCTTGAAACCACACAGGTATCTCTGGAGCAGCTTTACACAAAGTAAGGAGAAGCATTTTTTAGTTAGTTAATGTACAAAGATGAAGGGTGATTTTCTGTGAACTAGCAAAAATGTGCTTTTTTCAGTTAGAAGTTACTGAGTGCAGTAACTACATGAATAAAGGCATATGGTCTGAACTATAAACTCAGATTTATTGATTTTCATTAGAAGGAGCAATGCCTACTACTAGCCTTTCACACTTTTTCCAGGGTTGTTTGAATTGTGAGATCTCTTTTAGTGACTCTCCTAAGAAAGTAAATTCCTTAAGATGAGTCATAAACTTGCAAAACTGTCCTGTCTTCCTCTTTTTTTGCATCTGCACCAGTTCTGTGTTCTATTCTTAAATGCTGCTTCAGCTGGCACACTGTTCCTAGTTCTGAACTTAAAAGTTCCTTAAGTCTAAATGATGTATGTGCAGGAATTATTTAAGCAAATAAAAACCAGTATTCCAGTATTCTCTTCCTACATGATTTGTGGATCAGCAGTACTTTTTGGGCTCATGTCCATCAATCATGAGCATATTGATGAATGATTTCTTTTCCACAGAGAAAATGTGTGTGAAAAACAGATATAATGGTTGGTTCATGTACAGTAGTCTTCAAAGTCTGGCTATTAAATAACAGAATAATCACGTCTATAAAAATACTCTTACAATAGGTCATTAAATAACAATTAATGCACTAAAGTAATGTAATAATTTAAAGAAATGTAGTCAGGAGAGCAAGGAATGTTCATAAGAAAATGAGTGTCTTGGCACTGAGCTTAGTGCGTTGTAGCCAAAATAAATACATTCAGGTTATGATACATAACTTATATGAAATTTCATACATCAAAAACAGTAATGGATGTGATCTTTTCTTTGCAGGTACGATGAGATGAGTGTTCTCTTCATGGTCTTGATAAGTGATTCTACTCTGGAGAATGGAGTGGTCCAGCTGAGAAGCAGAGACACTACCATGAAGGAAATGATGCACATTTCTAGGTTGAAAGACTTTATAACTAAGTATATAGCATCAGCTAAAAATGTATAAACTTAAATATATCTAATAAAAGTAACTTTTGTAAGTGTCTGTGCCTGAAATGATTTCAATGGTCACAGATTTAGCAATTTTGCAGAGAGTTCTGCTAAAACTTAATAATGTATCCCTTTTCTGTCAAATCTATGTCTTCCAAGTTACCTGGAAAAGGAGAGAGAGACAGATTTGTCTCTCTGCAGCAGGGCTAACCATATTGTCTCCCTTGTCTTCAATTTTACTCTCTCTTTGGTTTTACTTCACTCTGAGAACTGAGAAACTGCTATGGTTACCACTGGGTAAAAGCAGATAGAAAAGTCAGATATGGATCTTCTAGCATGTATCTTGGAGGACAACAAAGCTGAAATAACTTCTTGTAATGACTAAAGACTTTTGATTAATTTGTGCTCTTATACAATCCAATTTTTATTTCAGGAACAATGGTTAAATGCACAGGAGATTCACTCTTATCCTGACAGTGATTCACTGTGCTTTTGGCCATTAAAAATAAAAAAGGACAAGAAACTGTTGTTTATTTAACAGGATTGCTATTTGTTCCTTTGTAATTCCAGTCTACCTGTTAGGCATTTTGTTTTATAACCATAGTATTACTGAAGGATTTTTCGTAGTAGTAGACAACTAACTGTGTGATCTGTGAAGTAAATTTAGGCCAGGCAGTCAGTATCTAAGCATGGTCTCACTTATAAATATGTGAGAACTAGAAGATTCTTTATAAATATGTAATAGAGTTAATCACACAGGCCATGTTACCTTGTGCTCCATCTCTGATGAGGACCTTTGAATAGATTGTAGTAGATGCTCTGTTCTCTGTGAAAAGAGTAAAATAATTCATGGGTTTGGGGTTTTTAGTAAAGACACAGCAGAAGAATTAATACACTATCAGCAACTTGGTTGCTAGTGACATCTCCTGCATGGTTCCAAAATTAAGCTGTGGAATCTTTCCCCCCTCTAGCTTAGATAAAGTTATATTCATATACTTCCCATGGTAAGTTAGCAGTTTCAGTATGTAACTGCTGCTATTCACCTCTACTCTCTGCTGTTCCAACCCTAATCTTCCCCCCCACCCTGAATACATTTGTGCACATTGGATATTTCACTGCTACAAAATAAGATTTTCACCTTGTTCATCTCTTTGTATAACGGAGAGGTTGACATATTCTTCTTCTGGTTGAATTGGCTCTAGATTAAAGATGAACAGTGGTTACAAATGATTGAACAGAATGCAGAAGCTATGTTTTGTTTTGCTGCAGCTTGTTTGTAGCCTGTTTTTAGTTCTTAATTAATGGCCACTGCACCTCTGGTTTACTTGTTTTCCTCTAGTTTTCTTTTCCTCTGTAATGGCTGTTCCTATCCTCACTGTAAGTTACCAAATGCAGTTCTCCATTTCATGGTAGATTTTGGTGTGAAATTGGTTTAGAAATTTTAACCAGTTGTGGTTTTGGCTGCATGGCAGACAGTGCCCAATAGGTGGATGCTGAGTTGTGTCTGCCATGGCATGGACAGTAGGAGTACTAATAGCTCTCTTAGCAGGTGCTCCCTTCTGCTGTTTCTGCAGTATGTAAGGAATTGGTTCATACCAGCTGTGCACAGTACAAAAACATTCTTGTACTTTGTACAAACTCCTGCATGTTTAAGTTTTGTGGCTATGTGGAGAGTGGTGTGAACTTGCCAATCTCTGCGTATGTGATGTAGTCTTCTGACTCTTCAACTTTCTCTGTTGAAGTATGGCCAGTTGAGGATCTAGGAGGTGTAAATTTTTCTGCAAAAACAAAACAAAAGCCAACCACATGCATGCATCAATTGATCTTAGAGATGGTTTAGCAGTTCCATATTATTTTTTAATATTTTAATATTGATCATGAAAACAACATCTTTCCTTAACAGAGGCATTTTTTAATAGACTTTCTTTACTAGAAACAAAGACCACCCATTTCCTTTCAGTATTTGTCTTATTTTAGCTATTTCTTTGCTTCCCTCATTTTATGTCTGCCATTGAAAATGTTGGTAGAAGTCTTACACTAATGTCTTTACACCAGACTGGTTAAAAGGAGAGTTAACAACCTCCTAAAATGCCAAGACCATAACTTGTAACATTTGCACGTTAGAATATACTGAAGACATAAACCAGCCCCTCCAGAAAATGAATCAGACATTCAAATAACTCACTTGCTTTATATGAAGGAATTATGAAAAATGGAATTGCCAGAGCAAGTCCTATTGCTAACAGTAGTAAGATCAGTCCAAGGGAAATGATCAGGGGTTGAGAACTGCTTCTCTCCTCTGGAAAAAAAAAAAAAAAAAAAAAAAAAGAAAAAGAAAGAATAAAGAAAAGAAAAAAAAGAAAGTGATTATGTAAGGAAATGTTATTTTGTATTTGAAGTATTTTCTGCCAGCTAAAATCACAACCTTGCATTTCTTTCAGCTTTTGGCTTAGCTGTGGTTCGCAGAACTACTCAGAGTGCAAATTGCACACAACCACCACAGCTGAAGGAGGGGAGGATGCTGCTGTCAATGACCCTCTCCTTCATAGAGGTCAGAGAAAAAAGGGAAACTAGGATCGCCCCAAGGCAGAGCGGAGTGGACGAGGGATCTCTTCTAAAAGTGAGTCTTTTACACTCATCCTCAGAGTCACTTCTACTATTACTGTCTGGGCTGCATGTTATTGTCTTTTTGCATTAATTTAAAAGTAACTCAGTTTTTAGAATTACTATTGAAATAATGATACTTTGAGCATTACATTGCAGGAATAACGTTTCTGGCTAAATAATTGCATTCATACTATGTTCTGTCCTTGGTTGTTTATTGGCAGTGGTATACTGTGTGATACATGCATACCTGCTAATGTGAAATTGAAACTGTTGCTGTATTTTGTTTTATTGCGAAGGCGATTTTCAGCTTTGCATTTATACATTCCAAAGTCACTCGAGGATTTGATAAGTACTGAAATCACTGCTGCTTCCCTCTTCTGCATCTTCACTGGGGTTTGGATGCTCTGTTTGTCTTTGAAGAATGTGTATGTGATAGGGAGAGAGCCTTTCTCTGAGAGACAAGACAAGGTCACGTTTTGACCTGTCTTTGCTTGAGAATTGGGTGAGCTCAGCACTGGTTTGGAAACTGGCTCTGTAAAAAACAACAGCAACAAAAAGAACCTGAAAAGATTTCAGCGCTGACTACAGGACAAACTCCAAAGCAAGACTCTGAATTAAGCAGCAACATTAGAGAAAGAGATGCCTGTAAAGGATGAAGTATTCAGTGGGGCATACCAGAACAGCACTGCTGACTCCTGAGGGAATGATAGCAGTTCACAGTAGTTAAGTTCAGCTCCATCATCAAGGAGGGATATTTTTACTGGATCAGGTTTGCCAAAGCCCCATCCGACCTTAATTTTTATATTTCCAATGATGGGGCATTCTCTGGGCAACCTGTTCCAATGCCTCACCACCTTTCTTGTGAAAGATTTCTTCCTTGTATCCAGTAAAATAAAATGTGCTGAAAATTAATACAGCAAGACGTACCTTTAAGTGTGAAGTTGAGACTTCTGCTGTATTTTTCACCATTGGAGATTTCATTCTCAGCTTTGCACTTGTATTCACCCACATCGCTGGCAGAATTGATGGTTAAGTTAAACAAAACTGGAGTCAAGTCTGTCCTATTTAAAGCAGATACCTTCTGATTGTGTTTAAATAGCGTATATCTGACAGGAGGAGATCCAGAGTCTGAGTGACAAGAGAGGCTTACATTCTGGTTCATCACTACTTCCAAAGTACCATGAAGAGGTGTGAGCTTGGGGTTGGAAAGGATCTCTGGAAAGAAGAAACTTATGTGTGAGTTCATCTGTCATCCACGAATCCCCCAGGTTATTCCCAAAGCATGCTGATGTTTAGGCTATACTTAATTCTATTGAAATAGATGTTTATTTTTTTCCTACATTTCCTACTTCCAATAACAGGCACCACAACTTTGTGTTTTTCATTATCAATGTGGAACTTCAGACATTTGATGAAGAATGCATGCCTTCATATACAAGAGAATACATGCACACAAAGCCAACAGATGTATCTCAATGAAACAAAGAAAAACTTCTGAACTACAGCAACATTTAAAATAATTGAAGAATAAAAGAGAAATATTACGGGGTATTGATTGTAGGAGAAAGTAACTTTATAAGCTAGTAAAGAGGTGCACCTAAAAGTGAGAACAGTATTTTGTCTGTGTCCATGCATAAACAGGCAGAGTTAATCTCACATAAGATGTCTGAACTTTTATCTTTGACTTTCAAATAGAAGCAATTGGAACTTTGATTTTGTATCAAATTGTTTTGCTTTTATGAGATAACACTAATGCGTATCTAAGAAAAACTTGCCTTGTCTTTTCATATAAATTGGTAATAAATCAGACTAAGATAAATTCCAACTCTTCTACAGGGAGAAAAACATCTTGATATCTTCAAGCAGTTTTGAATGTACATAGAAGTGTATACGTTAGTAAAGATGAAGTTAGCTTCGTATAGAAGCTTGCAAAGCATCTCAGTTCAGCCAGGGGCAAAAGATTTAGTCTTACATGAAGGCTCTTGTCACTTTAAATACCTTCCCCATTTTTTATTGATTCCAGCCCATGTCCCAAAACTGAAAAGAAAGAGCCTACCTCTGCAGTCTGCAGTTGCATTCTGAATCTGTTGAGAGGTTTGAGCTGGAAGAAGAGAACAAAACTTGAAGACAGGAAATGGTGGTTCTTATTTAGAAATATTTGTAATATGTGTAAAGAATGTCCTTGGCTTACGGTAAGAAAACAGCAGAAGTGTGAAAAAAAACATTTTTTTTTTTCCAAAATGAAGCTGGTGCGAGGTAGCTGTTGGAGTTGCACTAAAGGGATCTTAGAGGAGTGGCTCTCGCAGTTGAGGAAGTCCTAAATATGGAAATAGCACTGATCTTTGCTGTTGATATTTGCATAAAGATTTATGTTCAGCCTATGATGGTCATCTTAGAGTTGTGCACAGAAGAAAAAGAAGAAAAGAGAAAGGAAGAGCAGTTTGGAATATAACTGGTTGTTAACGTAGAGTTGTTCTTAGATGTAACTAATGTAATCAACTTTTTCATGTTTGAGAGCTGTGTAATAGAGCTGTGCTTCCATGTAGTATACAAGAATATATTATTATAATTTTTTTTTTAGTATTGTTCTTACAAAAGAATGAGATCACCAATTCATATCTCACAGTCACACATTTGCTAGAGAGAATGCAAGAGATCTTCTGGTAGCATGTGACTGAGACTAAGGGAGGATGTGGTTTCTATTTTTTATCAGTGCTCCCATATTAAAAAAAAATGACAAAAAAATAGTACTTAATTCATGGGACTTTTAAGATGATAAGAAATATTCCTGGAGAACTAGCCCATTAAGAAAACATTTTGACCAAATTTGAAATATTAAGCTATGAGGAAGTAAGATCTCGCACTAAAAGGTACAGATCTCGTCACAAACTTGAGGTCAATATCACTGCACAACAGATTGATGACTAATTTGATCATCTAATCACTAATGCAAAGCTGCTACTTTAAACTTTCAGCAAGTAGGTGTTCACAATTCATCATCCTGTGCCTCTGGACACAGGAAATCTTTAGCTAATGTCTCATGGCGTGAACTAGTATTTTGCTTTATTCAGTTCTATTAGTATAGGTAAAAAAGCCATTGCTTTTACCTCTCCATGAGTCTGTCCTTTGATTCTTCTTTCTTTGATATCCTTTTGGGCTTGAGACCCAATGGTCAGAACTGAGAATCTGGACATTGGGAAATATTAGTTGCAAATTCATAGGCAGCCCTGAATTGTTAAAATCTCCAGGTCAGAGCTTACATTCAGCAGAGCAGTGTCTCAGTTGCTCTGCTGTTCTCTGTGTTCCTTAAGTATACAACAGTAATGTTGTTCATGTATATATATGTAAAGGCAGTGCCTTTGGAAGAGCTCCAGGCCCTGCCCATGTGAAAAAGAGACTAGAAATGCAGCTAATGTCTTAAAGTGCTCTTGTGCATCTTGTCTTATTTCTCATCAATTCTCCCATCTCTGGAGGCAACAAGCCTGGTGTGCTGCAACACTGAAAAATTTCCTCACAACTTCTTTCTTCTTCTTCTTTAAAAAAAAAAGAAAATTTGATTTCCTTTAAGTCAATCTTCATCTCTGCCTGCATTTCTTATATGGAAATGATGACAATTAACCACAAGACAAATATTTATTTTGCAGCTGGCAGGAAGCATGTGTAGAAATGCAGATGTTGAGAGAGGAACTGGAAGCATTTGTGCGTTTTCCTGTTGTGGCAAGCTGTTCCTCGTCCCAGAACAGCAGCACAGCCCTTAAGACGCTCACAGGAGGGTGGTGGAGAAGGAGAGGTGTGCAGGAGGCAGCGTGGTGTTGCATACTTCTCTCTTGGGGGGCAGTAGGTGTGTGGGTGAAGCAGTGGGCAGCTGCCTTGCACAGCTCCCAACACTTGGGATGTGTTTCCCAGACTCAAATCATTTGGTTTTGCTCTTTTTTTTTTTTCCAAAGAAGGAATTTCATATGGTGTGTGTCTGTGGTGGGAAGCAGTTACTGAGAATCTTTCCTTGCCTTTCCAAAGAAAGAAGTTTAGTTGTCTTCAGGGCGTTCCATGTACAGCCTTCATCTGAGAGCTCAGTTGCCTCCCTCACCGTGTGCAGTCAGGGCATCTGGCATCTATCCCGTAGTTCAGTGCATCTATGTCCTCACAAGTTTTATTTTCTCTTAAAATTTGGGTTTTGGACTTGAAATGGGAGCAAACATATTTCTTTTGGCATATGCTGATCATTGCAACTATACATGTAGAGGATGGGAAACTACCTGATCCTTGTGCTTACCTGTTTCATCTCCTTAAATACACGTTTCCTTTTCAGCTCCTGTAATCACCTTGCCAAGTGCAAATGCAGTCACTTTTTACATAAGATCTATGAAGCATTGTGACAGGACTCGGTAGCTGGGCCTTACTGATGAGGTTTGTGTAAAAGCCAGACTGCAATCCCTAGGATAACACTAGGGGCAGTAATGAAAAGGAGACTTCAGATGAAGTTCTATATGGAAATGATTAAGTTATGTTGATAAAAAGAGGCTTTCAGTAAAAAATAAAATAATGGGACTTCTTTTACTTGAGAACGAAAATAATATGAGATAACATTATGTATGAAGACTGCACTCTTCACACTGTATCAGTATTATTGTAAGTCTCCAGGGAAATCTGCATCTTTCAGTGGGATTATAAATGTTATTCTCAGTTGTAGTTTCTTATCCTGAGAGGTTCTCTGTTCTGGAAGAGCTTCTGGTACCGTAGATGTCTGCAGAGGGCTTTGCTAGGAATCACCATATGCACACATACATATACCATATGCATGCTGCTGGAAAATGAACCTTGGAGACGTGAACCAGGGACTGTGTTCATCATGTAAATAAACAAGTGAAGCTAACATCTCTGAAAGAAGGAATTTCTTTCCTTTCCGTTTTTTGTTTTGTTTTTTTTTTGTCTGAATGAATTTCCAAAGTACGTGGCAGTGTACATGACATGAAATGCAGTCAAGACTTGGATTTCTAGTTTTCTTTTCAATATGACACCAGATTGGTTAGGAAGAATTGATCCAAATAGTAATAATAGGCTACTGTTGTATTTAAAAGAAACATTGCAATGTGAAATCTTCAGCAGTTTTCACTCACTACCAGCTTTCTGCAGTTACTTTTCCATATCTGTTTATATTGCCCTTTAGAGGAGGTGTTGGATATCAGTAATTAAAAGAAAAGCTTCAGAGGGAAACAGTGGTTCAATTGAAAAAAAAATAGGAGGAAAAATGTACTTTGATTTAGTTTGTGGGCCTCACCCAGTAGATGGCACTGTTATGAAATGTAATGGTCTGAGAAGCACAGATTTACAGCTACACAGTTTTTAAAATAAATTATAGAATTTGTAGATTTCTGAAAATAAGTCACTTGCTGCAACATTCTTTGTAAATATTCACATCCACGATTTTTTAAATTATTTATCCTTCTCTGGGGAGATGTAAGGACACTTTTAAAGTAAAGACAAATAATACAAATATCTCACGTTCAAGAGAAGACAATACACCCTAAAAATATATGCAGAACAATCAATTTGTTCCCAGTTCCCCAAGGAGCTGACTAGATGTGTGAAAACAACGACGTTCGTTGTAATTCCATCAACTCTGAGCACGTTGAAACAGGAAGTGTTAATAGAGCAAAATAGTTCACAGCTGTACGGAACCACGGTGTCAGGAACAGCAATTAAAAATCAGAGCTACTTTTTCTACTATTGATTTGATTACTGGAAATTTGTATTGACATCAGGAAAGATTTGGATCTCAGATATTTGGTGATGCACTTCTGTAGCAATTAATTGCTTTTAAAGTAGATTCAGTGTGCTGAAATGATGTGGAACAAGCTTCGATGGCCCCACAGTTTTGTGCTTTTATTCAGCATTTCATCCTTATGGAAATAGGTTTTGACTTGGATTTTAGGCAAAGCTCTGCTCAGGTGTCAGAGCTTTTCAGGAATTGATATATTTAACCAAATACCAAAGGACCCAGTCAGCAGAAACAGCAGTTAGCAATTCTCAGATGAGCACAGCTTTAATATTTAAGGGCTTGATTTATTGGTCTTTAGATTAAATTTAAAAAATTCACTAGGTGTCAAAGGGCTTTGTGTCCAATTCTTCGGTCTGATTCAGAAAGCATGTTGCATTTTTTTTTATCAGTTCCTCTTTTCCCACAAATACAATAAGGGACTGAAAAGAGTTCTCTAAGTTGTGTATACTTGAATAATTTTCTATTCTTACTTATTTCAGAAGGACACGTCCTGGGAGATTACAATAAGGTCACTGGCACAGCTATATGTAAGTTTATATTCTTTACGTCCACCTGATCTCCAGTTTAACAATGGAAGATGGTCTCAAGCCATTCTTACCCCTTTGGAATGGTTTTCTCTCAAGTTTCATAATATTTTGTGTTAAATTTCTGCAGTTGAGCTTAACTCCTAGATTTTGGCCAATACCTGTTAGATTTTTCTCTCCAGGGTAATGCTGAGGTTTTATTAAGAATATGACAGTCTAATTATACTGAGAGGTCTTCTGAACATCCTTGATTTGTGGCGTCAGAACAGCCTTGGATTTGTGCATTGTTAAGCTGTACTGCTGACCCAGCTCATCCTAAAAGCTGATCTTTCGGCTTCAGTCTGAAAGTGGCCTGCTTCTGAGCTCAGTCATGTTGGATCACTCTGACACATATTGGCTCCCAGCCATTTCTCTTTCCCTCTTTGTGGCTTTGTCCCCTGGTGGGAAAGAGTGCTATGGCTTTACTGAGCTTTCTGTGTCTCTGTGTGATGCTGAATTCTTTTACAGAGCAAGGGGGGAAATTTTCTTCCTTCCTATTTTATTTTATTTTATTAATAGCAGAATTTATCAAACTTTTGTTCTCCATCTGCTGTGTGTCCTCCTCCTCCTTTCCTTTACCTGGCTCTGGAGACCATTTTTGGGAAGTAGCCAAATCACTAGTCTTTGTTGGCAGTGTATCTCAAACAGCCTGGAGTAAGAACAAATACTGTTGCTAGTTATCCAGCTTACTTCTTAGTCATTAATTGCTATTAACACTGTGCTACTCTGCATTCCTCCCTCCTTGCAAAATAGCCCTGTAATTGCTGTGTATTGGCTGATGACCAACTGAAAGATGCTGAACAATGAATTTCTTTAAAGTTATAAAGTAAATATTATTTGGAAAAATTAAATTGGTGCTTAAATCTGCCATTTCTGCAGTGCCAGATTATTTAAGATTAAAAGCACATTCATAGTACCAAAGTAAGAAGGGTAGGTAGAGCAGAGATAAGGACAGGACAGTGTTTCTGCACTCTTCTTGCTCTCCTCGTTCTGCCCAGTTCACTCACCCCTTCACCATCTGAACATCAACAAACTGGCCATGGTTGTGAGTTTATGGATACTTATTAAATTTCAGTTGTCTTCACAAGTAGTCTTCCATGGCACAAGTCGGCCTCTTGATGTACTTGTCTTCAAACTTTTTACTTTCCTTAGGCTTACATCTGTAATCAGAAAAAGACTCTTCCATTTTGTTAAAGGAAGGTCAGTAATTCAGGTGTTCTGAATTTTGCATCAGTTCCTTGCTGTATCTCAGGCAGACATCGACACCAACAGAAATTGAGAGCAAAGTGCAGAAGTAGAATATTTTCCTGAGGTCACAGTTCAATTTCTGCTTTTTTTTTTCTTATTCTTTTTCGTGCCAGTGCTGCTCACATCTCTGCAGGGAAATGAAAGAATGAAAGTTCAACCCGTTCTTTTTTTCTGGGGTTAAACGTTTCTAACTGTGTGTTTTGCACTGTTCTAACAGCACAAAGTAACAGCTTGTGCATGTTTGTGTTTCTGTGATGTGATGGTAGTAGAAGAGGTTCATCTGTCAGTATTCTAATCTAATCTAACATCAGCTGTGGATTATGAACTGATTTGAATTTATTGCGAACTCCACATTAAAACAGCAAAGGTGACAGACTCAGGTGTGCAGAGAAAGGAGAAAAATGAATAACTGTGCATGTATTCTCTGCAAGAGTCAGGGTGAAGCGAAATGTTTGCTAAACATCTGCTAAAGTCAAATAGTGAATATAATTTGTATTCCTAAATGGTTAATTGTGACTTAAAAATACCCATATGGACAGGAACTACAGGATAAATGTCCCTGGAACTTCTTGTTATTTTTTTTTTTTTTAATACACCTTAAGAAATTAAACAAAGCAAATGCATTTGGTAGCGCCCTCAGGAAAAGTCCAGTCACTTCCTGAGCCGTAATCTGCCTGTGAGCAGCAGATAGATTCTCATTGTTTGCCATTTCCAGTAATGGGAACGATCACTTGACCTGGCCAGTTTCTGCTGAAGACTTACAAAAACTTACAATTTTTAATGGCAAATTTTTATCTATTACCATAAAGCAAAATAAAGCAAATCTGACTGGGAATCTGGTGGCATCACCTCAGATGATGAATATTGCTTTATTTTGGAAATAAGTGTCTGTTCTCCAGGAACGAGATGTATCTTGCTCTTCTGGTGATTTTTTTGCAGTGTAAGTTTGATAACTGAGTATCTGGATGTGTACCTGTTCTTCTGACTTGTTTGTGGTGGTGTTGTGGTGGTGTGATTTGTTGTAGTTTCCTGTTGCTGTTTCTCAATCCGTAAACTAAAAAGAACATTTCTTTCTACTTTTTTTCCAGGTTCAGAAATTTGCACTCAGGAAAGAGGTAGGTAAATATAGTTTTCTCATATACATATTTAAACAAAGTAATTTAACTAATTTCTCAGTTATTAGTTTGCACACATGAGAGTTTGTGTGGTTTGCTGTTCTACAGCTCTAAAAAGTTTGCCCATGTAAAAGATATCAATTGCTGGTGCTTCTTAGCAAAGTGTTTAGAAGACATGTAGGCTGTTTATATTTAATAAATATGTTGAAATTTTCCTAGAGCAATTTGTTTGACGAAGACATAGAATAGAATTAATTACTAGCATTTTAATTGATTTTTTTAACTCTTTTGTTCCTATGAAAAGGAAGGAGGTAGGATTTAAAAAAAAAAAAAAAAAAGAATATGAATTATGGTCACTCTCTTTTGCTCTTCTTCTTACAAAATATCCCATGAGCATATCTGAGCAGAGTATAGAACATGTATCCTGAAAGAAATGCAGCACGTACACTCTGCATCCTTCCCTTTTCCCATTGCTGTAGAGAAATCTTTGCTCCTGGTTGTCATGTAGTCCATTCATATGCAAATGATGCACTGGTTTTATACCCCAAATTCTCCATAGAAGTTTATAAATACCTGATAACTGGGCATGATAGGGACTTGTTCAGCTGCAGGAAGTAGTTAATTTCTAAAGCAAATCGTGGACAAAGTAGATATATAAACAGTAAGTTCTAAGGGAAGGGAAAATAAAGTAACTCTTAATTTTTTCTCTGTATTTGCTGATCTAGCTGTGTGAGTAAAAATATTAATTATACTATGATTCTAATAACCATAAAATTTTGTTGTGACATATTTATAGTTTCTTAAGCAAATTAGCTATAGTGGATTTTTGTGGTAGGGAGGTGGGGGGTTGTTGTTTTGTTTTGATGTTTGTTTGTAATCAAAATATGTCATATTCAGTATATTTTTTTTCAAAGACTGACAAGTTTAAATTCCAAATTAAATGGAGACATTACTTCTGCCTGTGATTCTCTGTTGAGATTGCTTAATGACTGTGATGTTAAGGACAGCCCACAGTGTCAAGTCAGGCACGTACATGTTTGCTTGCAGACCTTGAATCCAGATATCTTCTTCTATACTCCAGTTATCCTAAATTGGAGGTTTAAGATTATCCCAAGTCTGTGCAGTACGTGTTTAAATGGAATTTGTTGAATAACGTAACCTTACTTTCAGATTAAAAAAATACTGCAATAAATCCAAGGATTCCAGTTATATGCTTAGGGATGGGTTGTCTTGCAGTTTCATACAACTCTAAGCTGGCTTACACTGTATTATTTCATTTACTCAAACAAGGATGCATGCAAAATTTTGTTCAGATCTCCTAGCAATTGCAATTGGAGACAACAAACCATGAGAAATAAGGAAAGCCAAGAAATGGCTGCAAGTCTATCCCAATATCCTCAGTGTCTTTTAAAGAATTTAGCAGGTCTGGCCAAATCATCAATTCTTTCAGTCCCACAAGGAAAAGACTGAGGAGATGAACACTGTGAACTGTGATGGTCAGTAGAGGCTTTATGTACATCTGTGCAGTGGAAGGTAATGCTGCTACCACTGTCAACATCTGTAGACCTGATTACAAAAATTATAGCATATACTGCTGGGATACATTGAATTAATTTTACTGATTGAAATGTAGCAGCTTGAGATGACAGTATTATGTTGGATGATTTGAAAATAACTATAACTCTTTTTATTTTTTTCCATCAAGTTTTTACCTTCAATGCAGTTCACATCAAGGTTCAGCCATCTAACAAAGTGAAGAATGGAGCTCCTATGTCAATTATATGCCGTGCTGATATTAGCAAAAGTACCAATTTCAACTTGCGGCATAATATTACAATTTTTAAGGATGGCAAGCTTGTATTCATGAGTGTATCAGGCAAAGGAGAAGCACGGTATGAAGTACCCATGGCTAGATCTTCACATACGGGAGACTACCACTGTGCTGTGGAAGCAGATGGAAGGATAAGATACAGTGATTCCTTACATGTTTGGGTAACAGGTGAATATTCCTTCAAACATGGCAGTTCTCTAAGGTACAAAATGATAACAGCCTCCGAGAGTAAATAATAATAGTGCTACATAGGATATCTTGCAAAGTACTTGTAATCTGTAGTCGTCATGGTGCTTTACAAGAGTTTCATACTTGGTCCCCATGTTAAGGCACAGAAATGAAATCACTATCCCAAGGTTTCCTGACAGATCAGCATTAGTCAGGAGTGGAATCTATGCCTCCAGAATCACCATCCCTTGCTCTACCTCCTAGATTATAAAGTGTTATTTGTGAATGCTTGTTCCTACAGATCATAAATACATTAACAGGGGAGACTAGCTTACTGGAAAAGCTGGAAATAGAGATTCTCACCTTGTGATAACCATCACCAAATCTGGAGTCAGATGGGGGCTATTTCTATAGACAATGTTATATCTATCTTGTTTCTTTATCTTTTATGCATACAGGGACCACCAGACCACCAGTGTTCACAGGTGTGCAGCTTAAAAAATTTCCCCAACCTAGTTC